AGAAAGCCAAGTTCTACATCCTCATACTGCTTCTGATTATTAAATAAACTTGGATTACAATTAAAAATATTTTGTCATGCAGCCATTCATTCTTGCTAGAAAAAAAAGCAACACACACAGCCAGCACTGTGAGGAGTCTGTCGGCATTTCGCTTTCCCAGAGAAGGGCAGGCTGCTGTTTTATACAGTGCTACAGAAGCTCATCTTTTGCCTGGGTTATTTGTCCTCCCTCACAGTCTGCGGAGCACACCTTTGGCACCTAGAGCTGGAACAACACAGTACTTCCATGCATGCCTTCAATGTGACTGCCATCGATGGACAGTAGAGACAAAGGATAGGTACTTCTAAATATTCGATGAAGCTTTACCCCAAGCACAGGCAGGAGTTGAGCATTTCTAACCTTTTACCCTATGGCATAGTGTTATGTAGCAGTAAAGTATCCTGAATTTGATCAGAGTCAATACCAAAAACAAGCAACATGAGAGAGAACCATACAGAAGATCTTGCGTAAACATCTGGGTAAAGAGATCGTAACTACACCACTGGATTCCTCACAAGATGGGATATCATGGCAATAGGTTGGAGGCAACTACCTGGGAAACCTTGTGAACAAAAATCTGTACAAGGAGAGGCGTTAGCCTTCACTGGAAAAAAGGGTCCATATTGCCACATTGGGGTGTAAATTCAAGGGTCTGGAACTTATTATTTCCCTTCTCCAAACAATTGAACTTTTCGCAGGCTTTCCATTCAAATGTCAGACAAGCAGGCACTACAACTAATATTTGCTATGTGAAGTAGGATCTGACCAAAAATGAACCTTGTAGAGGGATTATATCAAGGAAGCATAGTCAACAGGTGTTAGGCACGGAAATCTAAATATATTAATGAATACAAGATGAATTCATTATGCACCAGCTGACACACAGCAAAAGACTGACCCATCATAGAGATATTACTGACGTACAGCACATAACATTTCATGGCATACAGCGCTGAGATGACACGCTGATAAACAATGTTCTTTCACGACAGACAAAGGGTGAACACCCATGCTATGAGCAGTCTGACAGCGTACCTCACTGAGTGTTGCTGATGCTTCAAAGAGACCAGGCAGGAGACGGTAAGGTGTTTCGGTTTTTTCTCTCTCGGAGCCCAAAGGGTTGCAATGGGCACTTGTCGCCAAGAGCTGTCTCCTGTGTGCTAATGCAGGACTCGGTGCTTTACTCTCTGCTGTACAGCATGAATAAAATATCACAGAGACACTGTGAAATGGAATGTATCTCTATGACAGCGGTGTCCAGATGACACCCTTCAAAAGAAATGCTTGTTTTACACAGGGCTTAACCAATCTACGCAATTTACTGCCATAAGCTATTTTCGTGGCTTGCAGTTTAGCAGATTTCAAAGCAGGATAACACTTCTACAGACATAATAAGAGCACCTGCATTTAGATTAAGTCAGATAAAAAGAAAGCACAGAAAGGATATTAATACAGACAGCAAAGGTAAGATCTCTGGGACAAGAACCGTCTGTTCCTATTTGTCTGGACGACGCCTAGCACAAGATGAACTGATTCCTAGTATACAAGTAACACAGATAAAGTAAAGACTAATCTATTTGGTATAAGCCAGCTTTAACTGTTCAGTGCTGGAGAAAATATACAAGCACGTTATCCCACAATTACATAAAGATTTCTTGCACCTTCCTCTGTAACATCTGATCTGAGTTACTGTCAGGGAGAGGATATCAGAGTACTAATGGCATGAGTCATCATGGCAGTTTTTGTGCTGCTTCTTCATAACAACTCTAGGACTCCTTTAATTATGACAGAAATATAGAAATGACACAAAATACCACAACACCGCAATATATAGAAGTAAAACTGAAATAAAACTAAAATCTTATTTCCTGCATCCACTCCAACAGAAACAAAAGAACAAGTGGAGAATACAGGCTATTTTCCATACTAAAATATTTTGTGATTTTTTTTTAGTGGCCAGTCCCCTCATAACTAAGTCACTCCCAAAGAGTTTTTTTCCCCCCATAAAATCATCAAGTTAACATAGTTTTGTGATTTTGTTCATCTTTCTTTCATGTTATTTCCCTTTTTTTACCCTTCACTCTCCGAGTCTGGCCTTTTAAGACTCTAAGCTCTTCATCTCAAACACTATAAACCTGGGCATTAAAAATCTGAGCTAGTAAGTGTGCAGGTGAACTGCAGCACTACTCAGGTTTGACGTCTCATGTCCTGACTCTTCCTTGCCTCCGACTGTTCTGCGTTGTTCAGAACCGAGCAGTGTTCTAGTCAGAGTTCACACGAACAGAACGGATAGAGCTCCATACACCGTGTTTGCAGAGCTCCCAGCGGAATGAGCGTCCGTTCTGAGAGTTCCTTTAACACAAATTGAAAATGCTAACAACCCTGACAAGCACAGCAGAAACACCCACGCAGAAGCGAGTGACCCATACAGACAGCAACAAGCCAACATCCAGCCCTGTGGAGACCTTGTATTAGCGCCGTGGTTTGTTCTTTTCGCTGTTATCCTTCACCGCATTTCCAGACGCCTGTTTGCTCGCTCAGTTCTCCCCCTGACAGCCAACACGTGCCTCGCCACTGCGCTGCTCAGTACTGCGTTGCTTTTGGGGAACACATACAGCGTGCATTTTGTACTTAGTCCTCCCTGTCATTTCAATCCATGTTGTTAAAGCAGCCATAAGCTACTTTACTCTATGCATCTTGCATATGTTTGTCACGCAAATCCCCATGTACCTTGCCCATGTTTGTCACACAACACTTCTACAGGCTTGCCTGGTGCAGGTGTTCCTCCTCCGGCCAGCAATCACCCGCAAACTTCACACCTAGAGTGTTCCACCAGTGTAAAAGCTTCAGTACCCCTTAGCAGCTAAGGAGGCTGCAGCACCCCCCAACAGGTCCTTCGGAGAACGCCCGCCTTTGCGGTGCTTTGCGGGGTCCCCCCGCGCCGGGCGGGGCGGCGGGCAGCCCGGCAGGGGGCGCCAGAGAGTGACCATAACAAACGCCCTCCCGGTGACGGCGGCGCCGAT